CGTTGACATGATTACAGAGTTATCTCATCTTCCCGTTGAGCATTTTATAGGACTCTACGATCAGTTTGACGATGAAAAAGAAAATAGATTTGGGCTGCGCTGCAACTAGAAACACAGGCAACGTTTTCAAAAGTGTATTTTTTTCGTAAATTTACTGTCCCTGTCTTCCCCGCCTTCACTCTCTCTCCCCCCCTCTCTCTCTCCCCCTTTTCTCTCTCTTTCTCCATCCCTCCACCTCCTCCTCTCTCTCTCTCGGCGTCTGCGGTGCAGCTGGTTATGCACTACGCCGTCGCAAACAGAAGACGTGATTTCAATTCTCATGTAGGGAGATTTTGTTTAAACGAGTGTCTCTTTCTGTCTGCTGGAGAAGCCGTATCCGTCTCTGTCCGGATTGGCCCTGACTGGCAGGGTTGAAGCAGCCCGTCTCCAATATAGTCTAAAATTGTGATAATGGGGTCGTCAAACTCCTACAATTACATTTTCTGTATCCCCCTCTCTTTCTCTCTCTCTCTCTGTCTCTTTTCTCTCTCTGTCTCTTTCTCTCTCTCTCTCTCTCTCTCTCTCTCCATCTCTTTCTCTCTCTCTCTCTCTCTCTCTCTCTCTCTCTCTCTCTCCATTTTTCTTTCTTTATCCATTGCGGGCATTGGCTAACTACAGGTAAACATTTCCCATAACAAGGCTATCGACGCCACATATCAATCCCTCTCCCTCTCTCTCTCTCTCTCTCTCTCTCTCTCTCTCTCTCTCTCTCTCCCTCTCTCTCTCTCTCTCTCCCCTCTCTCTCTCTGTGTGTGTCTCTCTCTCTATCACACACACACACACACACACACACACACACACACACACACACACACACACACACACACACACACACACACACACGCACACTCACAAACCTCTTTCTCTCCCCCGAGCAATGATGTGCTCAATTACTATTAAGGTCGAACTTTTCTACGACAAACGTCCATCTAGCAGTCAAAACACTTTAAAAAAACAACACATACATTGCTGAGTGCCCTCTCTGCCAGGCTTTCGAAGCTTATACTATCCTCTTTCTGTCTGCCTGTTTGTCTGTTTATCCGTCTGTCTGTCTCTCTGTCTATCTGTCTGTCTGTCTGTCTGTCTTTCTGTCTGTCTGTCTGTCTGTCTGTATGTTTTTATGTCTGTCTGCCTGCCTGCCTGTCTGTCTGTCCCTTTTTCACTGTGGGTGTATCTTCGCTGTTTCAGGCATCAATTTTCCTTATTTTCATCCTCTGATGAATGCTATTAACGGCAAACGTTTCAGCTGGCGTCCAGCTTTGAATATAAATTTCATTTCCATATAAATCTCATATTTAGCGCGCTTATGTTGCATTAACCGCTATTCTACAAAGCTACTTCTATATATGAGGATTGCAGAATCTCAAAATATCGTGCGTAAAACATAACTCTTTCCCTTCCAGCAATGTTAGTGACAGCGCCCCCAATGAGATGACAAGATCAAGTCGGTTACTGCCATAATTCGGCCCATTATCGCGCCCGAGGGCGAGAGTTAGCTGCCCCTAATCGCATCCCGGCCGTCATAGGGAGCCGAGGCGCCGATCTGCCTTGTGATTGTCCTCTTCTAGTTCTCTCCCCTGAGCCCGCTCTCTTGGGAGAGGAGGGCTATGGCGAATGTCTCTGTCGTCTCGACGGGTGAATAGGCGCAGACTGTATCATTCCTCTTGTGTTTGACGCTCGCAGAAGGGGACCATTTATGCCCCCAAGGATTCCTGTCCAAACGCAGATTTATATTTAACCCAAGCTGACCCAATTACGGCGGTAAACAAGGAAAAGAGAGAAAGCGTTGGGGGATAACAGCAAAGAACCTTGTGTATTGATCGACATGGTAAAATACTATCTCGTTGAGTAATGGGCTACAGCAAGACAATTTTCAAGGCTCTGTTTCCAGAGACATTCTTTTGCCTTTCATTACAATAAACACAAAAGGTAAGGAAAAGGTATAGCAGCGCAGATGGATAAACTGGTCAAAAGATTGCATTTTACTGTTCAGTTTCGAGCAGTAACACAATAAATCGACTTTATGTGTGTGGGTTCAAGGTAGAAAAAGAACAGCTTGTAAAAGGCAGTTTTGCTGGGGGTGTTTGCGACGCATTCAGACGAAGAAGCTGACTTCCAAACACTTAACACAAACTGTATTGAAAGGTTTCCATTCTTGACTTTGTATCTCTTCTAGACGCTTTACTCGAAACAATTTCAGGACAGCAAGAACTTCTGTCCAAACAGTGTGTCCCGTCACCAGGCAAGAGAGAGAGAGAGAGAGAGAGAGAGAGAGAGAGAGAGAGAGAGAGAGAGAGAGAGCCTGAATGGTGGGCGGTAATCACTCGGCCTGAGAGGAGCTGCAGGCGGAAACACATCAAAGACTTGGTGTCGGTTTTGTCGCGATCTGGTTGGCTGTCCGACTCCGGCACATGGCGATACGGGAAATCAAAGGCTTCTTCAAGCCTTTCACAGAAGTTTC